TTCCCCTCTTCACATTCCTATAAAGTGTTATTACAACTCTAAACGGTCCTGCAGTATGCTGAGATCGTTCAAGGTCACCATTGCTATTTTGATATGGAACCACATAAAACCAGCAAAGCCGAGGACGGACTGGTGTATGCATTCCCGTTGTTAAAAGAACGTCCAGCCTCCCAAAGCGAAAAGAGAACAATTGTCGCAACACACCATCTAATTGTTATGCAATATTCGACTAAAGTGCTGCATGTGCATTGTTTATGGATTTAAAATGCGAGATATAGTACTTCGACATCAAAAGGGAACTACGTTGTTTGTCTTGTGAGGAAACAATACAAGACACGACAGTTTGACCTTGACATTGCGAAGTAAAACATCTGCGCATTCGATATTCAATAACAAGTTATACGATAAAATCGTTAGTTAGGTTGGAGAATATCAATTGGATCTTTCCTTCAAGGATACTCATCCAAATTTTGTCAAAGTCTACAGAAGAAAAACAACAATTTTCTTTCTATTTCTTTTATGGACCGTGACAAATGTTCAAATTCTTTGACTAATTGATATTCTCCAACCTGACTAATGAATCTATTTTTATCCAGTTTTTTTTATCGTCTGTAGTTGAGGCTCAAATGCGCATATTACTTTTCCGTCTCAAGCTCAAACTATAGTATCTTAGACTATTTCCTCACAAGACAAACAACATGGATCCCTTTAGATTTCCAGGTACCATTTCACGTATTGTGAGCAATCATTTCACCAACTGTCAAAAAATGTGTTCGTAAATTCATATTTCTGAATCTCGGTGCGTTCATGCCTCACCATACTAACAACCAATCCATAATACATTTGACAGTGATGGGATGGTAACCATTATGGTAGATTGGCGAACTTGGCAGAAATATGACCCATATTGATCTGATTCCCGTTGTGAATTGGGGGCTGTGTGGATGTTTTTTGACTTTTAAAACAATGTAAACATTAACGATTCTCTTAGCTTCCAACTGTTAGACAGGGCCAGTCTAATCAAAATTGTAACTAATATCTCATCAAATGCCATTGGAGAGGATGGTTTCTCTATGAGAGACCTAAAGTTATGTATCCCATTTTGTACAAATGCCTTGCTGAATATAATCAACACATGTATTTTGGGGGGATTATTTCCAGTAATATGGAAGAAAGCTATTGTTAGACCCTTACCAAAAATAGCAGAACCTAAAGAATTTACAGACTTGAGACCTATTATAATATTACCCGCTACATCCAAAATTTTAGAAAGGCATATTTATAATCAAATTAGATTTTTTTGTGACACAAACGATATCATACCCGATAGTCAATCCGGTTTTAGGAAAAACTTTAGCACAAGTACATCATTAGTTAATATCTTGGATGATATCAGACATCATCAAGAACAAAAAAATAGGACGTGCATGGTTCTTCTTGATTTTAGTAAAGCGTTCGACACTCTGAATCATGAAATGTTACTAGCTAAGTTACATTACCAGGGGTTTTCGCAGAGCTCCATAAATCTAATAAAAACATACTTAAGCAACCGTTCAAACTGTGTTATGTTAGCAAATGATTCTGCTATTTACAAAACCGATTTTAAACCTATAAAAAGAGGAGTTCCTCAAGGTTCAATTTTATCTCCTTTGCTATTTTCTATATATATATATATTCTACATATCTGACATGGTCAAATCGGTAAAATTCGCAAAGATAAAACAATATGCAGATGACTCACAAATATATCTCCCTGTCAATAAAACCACAATCCATATTGCACAACAACAACTAAATTCAGATCTCCAAAGAATTGACAGATTTGCAAAGCATCACAATCTTAAACTAAACCCCTCAAAATCGCAAGTAATGGTTATGAATAAAAACAGTACTGAAAGAGAACATTTTGAACAAAATTTAGTAATTTCTATTAACAATGACAGAATCCCCATAGTTCAGGAGACAAAAAATCTAGGCATTATATTTGATAGCTCGCTTAGCTTCGGCAGTCATATAAAAAACAACAAATTTAGCTTACATGCGACTAAAAAATATAAACAAATTAAAAAAACATTTATCAGTCAAACAAAAATATTATTTGTGTAATACCTTTTTTTATCACTTTTTGACTATGGAGATGTCGTCTATGGCGATTCGCTATCGTCGCGAACCAAAAAATGCATACAAAAAGTTCAAAATAGTTGCATGAGATTTGCGTTTGGAATTCCATATCGAAACCATATCACTCCTTATCTGAATAACTACAACATATTAAACATGACGAATCGCAGAAAATATCACATGTATTCTTTTATCTATAGGGTTATAAAAACAGGTCAACCGCCCTATTTAAGAGAAAGATTTGTGCCTTTGCCTAGTCCCCAGAGAAGCAGAAGTAATCTCAATTTTATCGTACCTAGGCATAGAACGCGTTCCTTCCGACGATCGTTTGCCTATGTGGCGGTTCACTTATGGAATAATTTACCAACTTCAGTTAAAAGCCCATCGTCAAAAACATTCTCAAAACTGACAAAAACGTTGTTACAGAATCACCAGCTACTTTAGCAGCGTTTGTGTGAGCAAAAATATCGTTTTTACATTCCTACTCGCTGACAGGTTGTATAGATTTGTTTTTCGCATCCGTTGCCAGCTCCCGGGGGTTCTTTCTTCGTTTTTGCCTTTTTTGTGTGTTGTTTGTTTAAGGACTTTTAGGGTATTTAGGGCTTTCTCGCATGGACTCTTTGTATTAAAGGGTCCAATGTATCGGTTTTATAATCGAGAGACTGTCCTTTTTCGTCATTACTCTATATGTAGAATTTCTTTTGTTTATGATATTTATTCACGACGAATTTGAATTTGAATTTGAATTTGAACTGCTGGAATTTGTGAAACAAAAATGGAAGCGATTATTGAAAGTGAGCTGCAACACAAAGATAAATCTTTTAAAGCACATATGATCCTTGAACCAAAACACATTGCAGGAGTCTTTATTATCATTAACAAATCGCGATTTTATAGGAAGATATTGATTCACCGAATTTCAGATAATAGATGTGAATTTTTCGACTTTAGATTCGGTTGTCGTACTATTTTCATGAACAATTGCGAAACATGTTGATTCCATATCATTGTAAAGTTTGAAAAAGCCAGTGTCTGTTATAAGTCTATAATAGATTTTCCTATGTACTTTCGGTTTATGTGATGAATTGAAAGTATAATCAAGCGATAAATGATCTGAATAACGAGTATCAAAAACATTAACGCTATTTTCTAAGTCTACGTAGTTAATGAAGATGGTATCTAGACAACTTGAGTTACTTCTGTTTTGCCTAACTATTGGTATGAAACCATAACAACTAAATAAGTTCACCAGCTCAAGAGCTTGGTGTTGAGACATATCAAATACCTATGGGATCAAACTTGTAGGGGTTATTCAGTGTAACTAACAGTAGAAAACATTTGAGTGTAGGGACGCATATCCGGAAAAGTGTCACTACGGTACTATGGCCCTAAGACGCGTTAAAATTTAGAAAGACGATGAATTGCTTAAATAGGATTTAATGCATTTAACTTTTGCCTTTTGTACATATCATCACAACAATTGTTCAAAATGTATTCCTCCAACCTGAATACACCGTTCCTGTGGGGACATGTAAAGTCTTTGGTTTACGAAACTGCAGTAGAAACAGAGCAAGACTTAATTGGACGAATTACAGCAACATTTAAAATCATTCAAAACGAGTATCAAATTTTTAGTCAAGTCCGTCGAAATCATGTCAAGTCCGTTTAAATCGGTGTATAAAGGATGGAGAAAGACATTTTGTACCATTGTTTTGATGATATCATGTACAAAAGGCAAAAATTAAATGCATTAAATCCTATTTAGGCAATTCATCGTTTTTCTAAATTTTAACGCGTCTTAGGGCCGTAGTGCCGTAGTGACACTTTTCCGGATATGGGTTCCTATACTCAAATGTTTTCTACTGTTACACTGAATAACCCCTAGAAGTTTGATCCCTTAGTTCTGAAACGCCCTGTATAACATTAAAATCTGCTATCACAATTTGTTTGCGCAAATCGAGTCCATCCAATAAACGATAAAGTTTCATAATAAAGTATTCAAAATTACCATCAGGTGATCGATACAATGAGATCAACTGAAGATCATTCACTCATTCACATTTACTCCTGCCTCCTCAAAGTGTAGTTCTTCTGACAGATTCAGAACGTTATCTGATAGAGGTACCACGAATTTTCACATCCCTACAGAAACTAGATACAGATCTAAAGTCAGAGATATGATGATAAGAGAACTCATCTTTTCTTAACCAGTATTCATGTATAGAGGGCATTGTATATTTATTCTTTTCACACAGTGATTCGATATTCCTGACTAACAGCGAACACCTTGGATATGTAGATGTAATAGTCATTATTGTTTTTTTACTGTTTTAACAGATCCTGGTTCACGTATTGTATTATTCTGTTGTTCGCCTTCCTTAATGTTGATTAGTGCAGTTTTCAAAGGCAATACATTTTTTAATTGTTCAAAAATAATATCCTTTACATTCTGGATGATTGCCATTTTTGATTCCGCAACTCTGAAATGAATAGTTTCTATTTAGTTTCCTGAGTCTATCAACTTTAGTGTTGATCATATTTCTAAGATGATAGTCGACAGATATGGTCAAGTCTTATAAAAAACTAAGATTGGTTACTCGACCGAGAGGTAAGAGAAAATGTAATCCTTTGAAGGATAGGAAGTTTTGTTTTGTTGTTTGTTGTTGTTAGAGTTAGTCATGAAGATTATAAAATCGTTCTCACCAAGAGATTTTGTGTTGTTAAATATGTTTTTAGTGATTTCTACAAACTCTAAATGTGGATAAACGTGAGCTTTGATGGAAAACTTTGTCATGTCAATGAATAATTCTAACACTTTTCTGAAGTTTTTTGCGTATTCGTCACCAATTACAAGGATTTTCCGACAGTTGTCTGAGGCGTTACGTTGCGGTGGTCCACCTGATGGTACTATATCGATTATTTATTGGTGCGTCATCGAATTTTATTGGAGCTTGTCTTGCAAATTCTGTTGCCACTTCGACGTCTGACTGGGGTGTAGGAAACGCGATAGATGCACATTGGGCAAAAGCCAAAGCTGTTTGATGTTCGGTGAATTCATTTTTTATCGGCTGGATTTTACACATATCGTTTGTCTTCCTTTGGGATCTTGTGTCCCTAATATCATTATCAACAGGTGACTCTTCCATCAAAAGTGAGGTTGTCAGCTCCTGCAGTGTACTGTTCTTTGAGGATAAATATGCAAGTTGTTGCTCCATATTTTGTATTTGATGCTTGTCTGGATCTCGTCGTTGTAATTTTTTTCAATTTCGATCACATCATCCTTAAAAGCTAATGAGCGTTTCTTCATGGAGGCGATATATCTATCCTCTATAATTTCTTTTAGTAATTCTCTTATTATTTCTTTGGTAGTGTTATCCTGCTCCAGTTCTTCTTCACCGTTTCCTTGACTAGTCGTACTACAGTATATCATATGTTTGGCAATGACAGTTACGTCATTTCTTTTGTTGCAGCAACTGCGATGGAGAATTTGTTTACATTTTATGCACACATAGTTGGATATCTTTTTGGATTTACAACAACATTCGTAATAATTCGGCATCTTCGTTTCTTGTATTGTATCGATAAGTAACTGTACAATGAAATATTGTACTGTGTCGTATTATCCGTTGTTCGAAAACATGGGATTTTTACACAACTTCTTCCTATGTTTTTCAACAGAAATTGACACACACAAAACGCACACACGATATATCCATCTTTATATGACTTGGAAATTTGTCAACTATATAAGCTTATGTTGGAGATCAGACTGATTTGATTCTTCACCATCATCAGTCATAGATTTCACAATCCACAGAATGAATGAGCTGGAAGAAAATTCACGCTGAATACCGTCTACCGGAATAACATTTTCAGGTACATGTTTGTAAAATAAATAAAATAATATATATAATAATTATACGAATATTTAACAAAGCTTCACTTGAATACGTTCATTCCTGAAATCTGAAAGTGATAGCAAGCAAACACAAAAGTAGCAAGCTTGCCTCGTTTTCTATAGCTCAGCAGAAACGCCAAAATCATAAGCCAGAATTCCAAAATATATAACTTATAGATTAGGTATGTCACAGTTCCATTTCGCTGTTCGGAACACATGGATAGTACAGGAATCTGAAAATGAAAGGAAAAACAAACAAATCGTCACCAAGATGGATAAATAAAATATATTGTCAAGAAAGTGTGAATTGTATTCGAAGAAGGTCACTATTGATACTGAAACGTCGTACAATAAAGAGGAATTTTCAACATATGTGGTTTGATTAGACAAGACAAACATAGGGGGTTATTATCATTGCAATTTTAAAATAGCATTGCATAAAACCAGCAAAGCCCAGGTAGGTATTCATGCTCTCAAAAGGACGTCCAGACCTCCAAAGCGACAAGCGAACATGAGGTAAATGGTCATTTTTTAGGTTCGTATCTTCGGTCGTTCCTATAATAATTGTAGTACGCCTTTATGGCCTTCTGGATTCTCATAGCTTTCTACTGCTCCGTGTCAGCGCTCTATTTTCTGGTTATGTTACAAATATCTATTTGCATCAAATTGTTCATGCTTTTGATTTTGATATAATGTTATATCTGCTTGAAAAATCCTACAATTCAAAAAGAAACCATAGGAGAGTGAGACATTAGAAATCTAGAAATAGCCCAGCCTGTCTGAAAGAGAGAAAATACTATCAAAATCAAGGAGGTCATGATTGAAGAACCGACTGACGATATGGCTGTTAATGTACCGGGAACGTCAATAAAACGCCAAAAGTTTTTGCAAGTACTGAGAATTTTGTATTTGTTTCCACTTATATAAAAGTGACTGGTCTGTAAGTTCTAAATATAATCCAATCTAGCGTCAATAAACCGTCAAAATCTGTCAAATTCTTTTAACGGAATTTCTTAGTGCTCATTTATATAGACCCCTCCAAAAGACTAATATGGTATAACGTGATGATTGGTTGCTAAGCTATGAGCGATTTAATGTACAACAACGCCCCGTTGTTCTGAATGGTAGTGGATATTTAGCGTGGGTTATGACATTCCGTTAAAAAAAATCCCAACATGACATCCCGCCGCCATTTTGAAATTTTCAACCATCGCTGAACCTTAAAATATAGCATTGATGCATCAATTTGATCACCGCAATTTTTAGACTGGAAACTAAGCCGCTGAACTCCCGCCAGGCAAATCGGTCCAGCTGTTTAATCTAGCCATATTGAAGAGTTAAAAACATATACACGGACCATACACTAAGTGAACGATAGCTCGCAACAGCGATGCGGTGCTGGGCGCTGCCGGGCAGATGTAGAAAAAGGCAACGTTGCCAGATGGATTGTAACTACCGTAGTTCAGGGAAAGAATGTCAATGGACTAATTGTATGGGCCTGCCCAACCGACTTTTTTCCAGGGGACTTAGACTGCGCTGAACTTAATCCTTTATGAACTGATGGGGACGTTGCGCAGGATGTGCATAGTCGACCTACTTGACGCCATTTTCGGAAAATCAATGTATAAGGATCTAGCTGTCTATATCCAGCTATGTAGATGAACGTTCCATAAGCAAACAGCGGCTTGCCTAATGAGTGGTGTTAAAAAAAACGAAACTTCCCTTTATATCATATTTAGCCTGTGACCGTGACCTTGGCTACTTGCTCTTTCACATAAATGTTTCCGATTTGATAACGATCTTGTTCCCATTGGGTTAGTCGACGGTCGACGCGTCCCTTGTCACGAGGCATACATAAAATAAATCGATTGTCACTAACACACAGTCTCATAAAAAATCAACGGATATACATTAGGAATTCTCAAGATTCGTGCTCTGGGAGTATTCTCTCTATTTATCGACACGATACAATATCGACGTATTCTTTGGTATCTAAGGAGTTAATTATTTGAATCGGCCGTTTCAAATAAGTCACACAATTTGAATTTTTCAAGAGACAATAAAAACCGTGTTACTGGAAAATAAACCAGCTTCAAAGAACCGTTATGGGTTCAATATGGTATTTGAATTTCAAAAGATTGAAATATTTACATTACATCAATAATTAATAATGATGGAGAAAGCCCAAAAAGCTGTTTTGGGTTATGCTGCTTTTAGCATGGTCTAGACTTGGCCTCTTGTCTATGGGACAACGAATGAATGCATGGCAATTATACACAATCAAAAGTATAAGATCTATCGAAATAAGATAGCGCAAAGCGCCATCTACCACAAGAATCGACCACTACGAACAGTGACTGCCTTGGATAGAGGATAGGTGCTAGCTTTCGTAGGTTGTCCCAGAGACCAAGCCTAGATCATGCTTATTAGTCGGATGTCTATGGATGGCTCTCTTGGATCGGATGGACGAAAGCAGCATGTCTGGTTTGTTCAATGGCAAGTAGGCCACATATACTGCACAGCTAGAATCCTCGCTATCCAACGGTGACTTTACCTCTAACTTGAGGCCTGAGATCAGTCCCCCAACCGGTAGCTGCCATCTACCCATCGCAGTTGTCGATTCTAGTGGTAGATGCTGCTTCGCCCGATAGATCTTACACTTTTGTAGTGTATTCATTCGTTCATTGTCTCAGAGACGAGAGACCAAGCATATACCATGCGGATCAGTAGCCAAAAAGCACAAAGCAGCGGTCCATGGTTGATCATTATTGAAAAATACACTCAGATATTTACTTAATAACATCAACATGTTCCGAAAACTCTTTATATTAGACTACAATACAACAAATGGTACTTTTTCGTCAAAAAAATTACTTTGCTAGATAGGTGTTGTACGTGTTATCCCATTTTTACACTGTATATACAAACAGATTTTCAAAATATGCTGTAATACTATCGTTAATTTTGTATGAAATTTAGGACAAAATTTCCTGTCGTGACAAACGACAACTAAAAAGCTAGTTTTTTCGGCGCCTAATGAAAATTCCTCTTTTTTCAGATAAATGGCGAAAGGTCGCCAGGAGATGTGTATAAGGATTTTAGGGAGTCTGTGTTCCGGATACTGGGTACTCAAGACAATCCACCTGTTTTTATTAATGGCAAGGCGGCTCCTGTACCCAACGACGTTGTCACCACAGAACTTCCAACCGTGGTATGTTGTGGCTCTCACTATCCTTGTTCGCCCTGATATTGCGCAAAATTCAGGCCAATCCTATTAGTGGAATGACTTTGAATTTAGACTTCGGAACCTAATTCCACCGGATGGATTTCTGCAATTTAAATGGATTATATTATATAGTATATTAATAAGTAGATTTCGTTCGTTCTTGATTTTCAGTTTATAATATTTTATCTTAAATTCGTTTTTTATTTGTATAGTTTTCCAGGTTTACAATATTTCATCAGATGATGATATACCTCATCAAACTGAACAAAAATGTTTATATGAACTTATGTATTTTAAGGCTACGTTACTGGGATACAGGGTGTTCAATTTCATTACTTCTAATAGTGATATTTTCAATTCCTTCTCAATTACTTCAGTAATTTAGACTCTTTGGGTCGACAGTGCGAAAAATTTCTAAAATCAAGGTACCTCCAAGATAACAAAAAAAATTCCTGTAAAAGTCCCAAAATGTTCCGTTACCAAGATACAGGATGTTGTAGTTTATATGGCATTGATGAGACTGGAGAAGGACAAAACATGAATATGTTCAAATAACGCTATGACACTTCATTATTGCCCTATAACAGTACAAACAGTTTTCAATTTCAAACTTTTCAGATTACTGACAAAAATTTCTCATGTAAACAACATTAATGTAAAAAAAATGCAATAGATGTTAAAAAAAAAACAGTGGCGTAGAAAGTAATTCTCAATTTCTTCTGTACTGGTAAAATTTTTCCAATATCTGCACCTCTGGTGTATTCTCTGAAAGGAAATGATTTTCGTATGTGTTAGCTTCTCTGGCAATACGACATGCACAAAAACAACAGGAATATATAATTCTTTCGATTTCGAAATTATAACCTACTATGTTGAGCACTTTGGGACCCATATTTATAAAATGTTCATACTATTTTTTGATCTACCTTATACCCTAAAAATATTGCTATTTCCTTCCGAATCATCCTGTTTTTCTTCATGATTTATTTTATTTTTCATGAATTAAAAAATTTGTTATAGTGGAGGACGTCCAATTCTGACGGCTAAACTTTTATTATTCGCACTTTAAGCAATGCAATCGAAAATGTTTCACTAAAATCCATTCTGTGGAGCCGGGATTTTCAGGTTCAACTATACATAAATTACTGTATTTAGCCGTCAAAGTAAATTTTTGTGGGATATTCCGAAGATATATTTATGAAAAATATACAATCCAGATATGCCTAAACTCAATCACAAACGTATTTCTCAATGGCAGAACTGACTTTGTATCTATAAACATGACCAACCGCACACGACCTTGTTTCGTGCCTTTCAGCAATCATCAGCGCGGTATTGGTCTAGTCGTATAAAGACCAACAAAGGGAAAGCTGACAACTGACACTTATAGTTCACCGAATCTTGATGCATTCTATTCAGCCATATAGTTTAGTGTTACATGAGCATCCAGACCAATTTTACATTAAAGATCGATAGAATACATGTTTAATGTACATGACACTACGAGACGCGTCATCTGGCTCACCAACGGTGTTTTGTTGTACCGCCTACCGCCTCATTAATTATTTGCCAATGTCATAGCTTAGACTATCTCGCTAACGGGTGCATCATGCAATGACATGTAATCATTACTTATTTAAACTTTTAGCTACTAACTACATTATATAAATCATAAATCAGCTAAAGTATTAATGTACCTAAGATTTTCTTTTTAATGTGGTACCCGCCTTCACGTTCAGAATAAGTTTTCTGTTCATGTAGACACTAATAAGGTTTTCCATCTATTTTAATGTGTTCATGCACCCAGGGTAGATGAGTGTTAGTTCAAATCTTCATATGTCTTCAATATCCTGCTTTCTTAGAATGTTCTGAATTTAGTAATGTGTACGAATTACATTTCAAATCTCCATGTATTTATATCTTTTTTCTTTAAATTTAGTACTCGTTAGAATACATTTGCATGTAGATATGCCTTCAGACATTTTTTGACAGATCTTATTCCATGTAAATGATCATTAATGCAATACAATATAGTATGCCATACCAAGCAAAAGTAAATAGATCCATTTAGCTAGTTATAAAAAGATTGTGGCTCTATTATAAAATATCAGAACGTCTTCTTGCAACACTGAAATGAACTTATAACTTATCCACAAATTCTCTAAAGTGTAATAACTGGCTTAACCAATTTCGAGGATTTATTTCCTGTATACAGTTCAATATTTTCGTATCGACAAGGAGTAGATTCTCGTTTGTCTTTCAAAAAACATACTAAGACAGCCAAAAGGTCGTATCTTCTCATTGTAAGCATGAAATGATTTTTATTAAACATCAAAGCCAACAGTAATAGTCTAAGATCCCAGAGCTACTAGACACTATTTATTTTCTAAAGGATAGAAGATGAGTCAGTAAATAGCGTTTATTATGTACTTTCACTACAGATTTAAAGGATCAGTATTCAAAATTCTACAAAACTATTTAATTGACAGAAGTCAAAAGACCAAAATTGGATCTACATTTTCAAGATCAAAAAATATTTCTGTTTCTGTTGGTATACCACAGTAGTAATCTAGGTCCACTACCATTTATTTTATACATTAATGACATTTGTAATATTTTAGATTATTGTAAAATCAGCTATTTGCAGATGATATATTAATGTATGTACATATCAGCTGAAAATACAGACACTGCTTTAAAAATTCTGACTGGCAAAAATCATAAATTGGATAAATGTAAATAAACTAAAATGGAATACTTATGCTAATAGAGAAATACCTAAATGAAAATACTATCACAGTTAGGATAAATGGTGAAATAATTGAAAATGTTGAATCAATTAGATATTTATGCCAATGAAGCTGTATTCTCAAAATAAGGCTATGAGAATAATATTGGATAAAAATAAGTACACCAAAATACAATCTATGTTACAAGAATTGTAGTAGTTGAATATAAAAAATTTCATATAATATTTGGTTCTTATTTTTATATTTAAAATAAAAAATCATATTTTGCCACAACATTCAGTACACTACATAGAATTGAAAAATCATTACCATAATCATTATACAAGAGGAAACATAGATTTATACTTACAAAATTGCAATAGTAATATAACTAGCAAATGAATATTTCAGAAAGGATTACTTGAATTTGATATAAAGTCTACTTGTAATTTAAAGATGTTTAAAAGAAAATTAAAGGAAAATTTCATGAACAGTGAAAATTCTTAGAGATACAAATTTTATTTTTTTCTAAATATCTGTATGTTATGTAATTGTTAGTTTTTTAAAAGAATGTAATTGTAGCAATCATGCTAAAAAATCTTAAACAAACAAACAAACAAAATCTGGTACCAGACCACCACCCAATATAGCGATACCCAGGTATTAAAATAACATATAAACGCTATGCAATGCCCACACTATTGTCTTTCAGAAAACAAGTAATGTCTGATAGATCTGTTATCTTTCCCTATAGATGCTTATTTACAATTTACTAAAATCATGTATATTCAAATAAACTCCTTGTAGTATTTTATGTAGTGACCGTTGTTTCCTGAGAAAGAGGTAAACGTGAGTAATTTATTTTGCGTGAAGGCAACACTAATATTTTTTGCAACATAATTTTGACTTTATCGCTTCTTTGAATTTCAGTCTGGAGGAACCGCAAGTCAGGCATATTCGATGGCTGAACCTTCATCTCCTCCACGACCTCTTACCAGGACCATTCATCCGGCTCAAGTTCCATCGTCACAAGATCGACCTCATACTCAGGTATCGATCTAGTTTAAGTTAGACCTAAGGGATTGATATATTAGCCAGGTGCCGCTGTGACTCATAAGTATAGTCCTATTCACGGATTTTTGCAATTACGTCACAATACCAACGAAAGAAGTAAACAGATTGACTAGTGCTATCATGTGCGTAATTTAAATCCCCAAGATCCGTGACAAGCCTGATACTCGCTCTTGCACACACAGATGAATTGGGTGATAAAGGATTGCTCATCTTCTGAAAATACTTCTAGTTCAGACTATCGACAAGGGTCCACATAAATCACAAGCTCATGCCAAGCAAGTTGTCACCCTGACAATAACAAAAAATGTGGAAAACTGATACGTTGACGAGAAAATCTTTTATAGCGGTGAGACAAAACTAGGAACGTATATAACATCAAACTCTTCTTTATTGTGTACGTTTCGGTTACAACAGCTATCTTATACCGAAGCAGTCGCGCAGGCAGAAGCCAGGACACCGCGGCTGCTATGAGGATCCCAAAGAAATTTTATTAATTTGATTTTGAACTGTCTAAGGTTAGTAGAACTGGGAAAAGCGTCCTCTTGTAGATCGTTCCACAATCTTGACATCCTCGGCATAAAGGAGCGGTCGTATAAGCTAGTCCTGGATGTACGAAGTTCGACACGGTTAGGATGGGAGGCCAAAGTCAGGCGGGTCCGTCTGGCAGCTTGTTGGTGTAGCGGTAGAAGAGAGCTAGATCGCCGATGATCGGCCAGTGCGAAAGGGTCCCGAGGTTGTCTGATAGAGAAGAGTCATCGATCAGTTGGACAGCCCTCCTCTGGACAGCATCGAGTATAAATAATATAGCCGGGGCGGCAGCACCTCAAACGTCTAAGCAATACACGAGGCCAGGCCTTATCTGGGCCTTGCATAGAGTGAGAAGGTCTTGCGAAGAAAAGCCCTAAACAGATAGCCTCGCTTTTTCCCAGCAGCTGCCGCTATTGACGAGATGTGTTCGTGCCAGATCAAGTCCTCGGTGATCTGGACTCCGACCAGTCGAAATGAACGGCTCTTTGGCAGAACTCGACCATCCATCGAAACCGGATGAGCGCTAGGACGCTTTTTGTTCGTCAAGGTACAGTACTGTGTTTTGGAAGCATTAAACTGTACAAGATTGTTACGTCCCCAAGCAGTGATAATCTCCAGGTCTCCCGTCATAGAGGTCGTTGATGTGTAAGAGAAACAGTGTCGGAGCCAAGGTCGATCTCTGGGGAACACCCGAGTCGGCGTTCTGGAATGAAGAGGAGAACCCGTCAATTACGACGGATATCTTGCGGCCTGGGAGGACATATAATGGAAGTTTGCATAAGAGGGTAGCGTGCCACAGCTGATCTAAAGCTTTTATGATATCAAGAGCAACAAGATGAGCCTCACCATAAGACTGACAAGACTGGATGAGTTTACTCCACATTTGTGTGACGTAAGCTGGGAGCTCCCCTGTGGATAGCTGAAAACTATACTGCCTGTCGCGTTCTAGGTAATCCAGAAGATCGCGGTTTACGCACCTCTCCATCACCTTACCTATAACAAAAAGAAGAGCTATTTGCCTGTAGTTGTAAGGGTCGGTCTCAGATCCTTTTTTTTTTGATGGGTTGGACATGAGCAAATGTCCAGTTTTCTGGGACGGTGCCAGATACAATATCTGGAAGAGACGCGATAGAACAGGCTCCGCTGCACACATCTCCAGTACAATAAGCTCAAATACCCAGCTCATACTCCGATCACTGCACCTTCAGCCAGGCGTCAAGTTTTAGGCTTGTCTGTTTTTCTCATTTCGCCGGTTCTCGTAGTATATAGACTCCAAGTTTTATAAGCAGTAACTTACACTCCCCTGTTGGCATCTCAGAGTCGCCAGCACGGGTCGGCAGACACACCATAAGTAGGGGACGTTGTGGCTACGCTTCCAAATGTGCGCCTATATACCGGGTGCTTCAAATTCGACCCTCACTAATGGTATCTCGGAAATTGTAAGAGATACGAAGTTGTTCGAATGAAGACAAATTTGGGTATTTAGGTAACTAACAAAATGCCGATTGAAACATTTCAAAATGCAAAGTATTTCCACAGAGAGACAGAAAAAAACAAGTTTTTCCAAAAAATTTGCTGACTTTATTTGTAGTGGAATTGAAAATAAATTGCACACCAACATTGCAACTTTTTTCTTCTACAAGATGGAGTAATTAGGACTTCAATATGACATTTTCTATCTTATTCTCCAGCATCAACTTCATGTTTTCTTATGGACGCCATATTAGATTTTTTGCAGATAAATATTGTTTTCAATTTTTATTTCATAAGTGTATAATACGTCATTCATTATTCCAGAAAAACAGAAGATCCTATTCAGGCCTTGAAATGATCAAAAAATAGTCATTTGTTTCGTATACCATACCAGACATCAAATTGAACATAATATCAAAGCTTGAAAAACTGAGAAGAAGGGGAATAAATATAGCAGTGAGCGGTGTACGGTGAAGAGTCAGGCTTTGCATACAAAATAACGGACATTTTAAACAATTTATATGATTTATCTCAGCTTGTGTGTTATCACCATCAATGAAATTTTCATTTTGTGTTCAGGTTTTACCATACCTTCTTGTTTCTTCTATAATTTTCAACAACAACAACTTCATGACCAATTAAGGAGATACATCAATGAATTTAATACTGAACAGTCAATTTAAACGTACAAAACTACAAATGAAAAAACAGTGATGGAAGTCGAAAGAAGAAGCTTCGAATTGAACATTTGAACACGCCATCTTTTAGAGGAGCGTGGCGAACATTGGCAACTTGGAACTTACTTTGAAATATCATCTCAGGCAGTCAGGAGAAAATAAAAATGACTCTGGGATAAATTTGGTATGCGAAATATATTTCTATCTGATAATTTCAAGGCAATCAATTCTGCTTTTTGAAATAACTAAGGTTTGGCAATGCCAATGTATGACGTATTATACATTTTTGAACTAAAGACTCCATTTATTTGTGCAAAAAACCAAAGTAGCAATGTTAATGTGTTATTTTGAAGTCTCACTACAAATAAAGTCGGGAAAAAATTGAAATGATTTTGGGAAAGTTCGGGATTTTCCGTTTCTCTCCGGAAGTGTTTTGAATTTCGAGACTTTCTAAGCAGCATTTTGATAGCTACCTAAATACCATTTAAGCGGCAGCACAGCTTCCGAGATCCCAATGGTGAGGGTCGAATTTGAAACGCCCGCTATACTTCAATAGAATTATCTGGCTATGGATGCTGGCGACGTCGTCATTTCGCCCCAGTGATGGAGGGCTCTAAATGTTATATCATCAAACTATACAATATTTGCGCTCTACAGGTAATAAGTGTGCATCCAGGGGAGGGTCCCTCACCTCCAGCAAAAACAGCGACGACGTCCAGGACACCAAAATCCTCTTCTCAAGGGATGCTACAACGACATGGTAGAGGGGCACCCTCAGCTCTGTGGGTCATTGGAGGTCCTGGAAGCAATAAGGCAACACTTTGTGCATCAGCTGCCAGAGATATAGGCTGGGGGCATGCGAGCTTAGGAAGGGCGCTCAGGGAAGCGGTAGATACTGCAACTCAGGAACAGAGGAGAGATCCAGAGGTAGGTTTAACTTTTCGAGAAGATTTAGTGCTCAGGCTCAGAACTTGTTTTTAAGCTTTGCTCAGTAAAATGTTCGCTAAGTGAATTATCGCTCGCTACTACCGGATGTTTCGCTATTCGTATGTCAGTTTTCACCCACGATTTGCTCGTTTGTGCCCTTTTCTGAGTCAGAAATCATAATTTGCAGATTAAGAAGATTCGAGAGTGCATTAGCAACGGAGAAATGGTACCGAAGGATATTATTATGAAGTTCATTAATAACCTCATGAACGAAAATACGGACAAGGAGGGCATCATAATAGATGGCTTTCCTAGGGACATGGACCAAGCTAGAGAGTTTGAGATGAAGGTAGGTTGTATTTATGTTTTCTGGAATAATCATTACCTATATTTCTGAGATGCATAAGTACCAAAAAGGAGATACGATGAACAAAGTGCACGCACGATGAGCTACAAAGTCTCTTTTAACTACACAATCGGTAAGTCGATACAGTCAAGTAAAGTCCCCACTAGAATTTTTGTCCTCCGTCTTATAAAAGATCGGCTATGGCACGTCACAGGCACCGCCGTTTACAGCATTAAGCAGCGGTAAATCTACGCGCACTCCGTACAGGTTTGGAGTTATCAATTTGTATGGATGACAGTATATAGTGTCTAATAGTCAGAAAGTCCTTGTCAGAGCTAAGCAAATAATTATTTTCCAAATAAAAATAGTACGCTACTGTTTCTTTTTTCGAAACGCGTAATTTTTCGAATTTTACCTTTAATTTACTACGAATCATTACTCTCACGTTTTTTTCCTAGAGTTCATTGTTTTCGTAAAAATAAAAATAAAACAAGCTGACATACAATTAGCTTCAAAATATAATAAGAGGCTTTGATATCAACTTGACGTTTCTTGGGAGATAGTTTGTCAAAGTTATGTGTTATATGGTTATTATCGTTACTACTATCATGTTTATTTTGTAAAAGTCAAAAGATTCTTTTTTCCATTTTTGAGTATTGTGAAATTGAATTAAGCAATGATGAGTACGCCGTTATTATTATTGTGTACGGGTTCTGTAATGGAAATGCTTTAGTGGTTTTTCGAGAATATCGATGTAGATGTCCGTGCAGACACCAACCTACCCCAAAGATTTTTACGCGTTCACTTCTAAGACTTCGGCAATATGGAGGTGCCAAGCTTCCCGGAGTTAGGCCATGATGTCCGCTATACTGTTAAGGAGGAGCTGGAAAGTGATTAATTTGGCTTTGTATGATCCCAGTAGGGGAGACCGGGGCTAGATGTCACAATTTTCAGTAATTCTTTTTTTTATTCGATCTGAAGCGTTATATGCACATATTTGGTGCACAACATATATGGTTTATTCTTTGGGAACACCATGTAAAATCGATAAGGTTGTAAAATAATTCACAATATTAAATTAAAATGTTTCAAAATACAGAAACAGGTGTGACAACTTGCCCCTTGCTGGGGCTGGATGTCACATTGCTTGGGGTTGGTTGTCACGTGTATTTTAGATCATTAATAATTTATATCATACTTTTAAACATATTTATTATTACAAATAAGATATCAGACTTAAAGATTTGGTATTTAGATACCAAATCTTTATGAGAAAAAAGTAGAAGAGCTTTTTTTACAATTAGTCACTATCGCAGTTATGACATATGTAAAGTTCGCGTCCATCAGTGCACGCATCATGAGACCAACCATTACATGATGAGCATTTCACCCATTCTTCATTTGACGCGCTGTTAGAAAATGGTTCAAGACAAATCAAGCAAAAACATTCTTCTCTATCAGTTTCATTATCTGAACAGGACTTTTTCTGAATCAAAACGTCCCTTTTCACTGTTTTCCTATTCCTCTTTTTCTTGTTCGAGCATTTATTTTTCTCTTAATCTAATTCGTCTTTTACTGAAGTGTCAGTGAGAATTGCAGTCCCTCGTTTACGATGGGAAACTCGATTCATTTTTCTTGCCGTTGCCTTTGGATAAGGTCTTAAACTTTCTGGAAATACTATATTTCCCGCATGGAGCCTTACTAAACTACTACAGCAGAGATCATCAAACGTAGTTTTGCCCTCTCGTATATTATCTATTGCTTCCTGCGTGTTAATATTTATCAGACTGACAGTTTCATCTTCGTTCAAGATGGTTGGATTTGGCCCAACTTCCTTTCCGTTTAAGGTTTCCGGGTTTGGTACAGTTATTGCTTCGTTCAAGATACCCGGATCTGGCCTATCAGTGACAGAGCTCGCAAGAAAGTCATCATCCGTGGAAATATCTCTGTTGTAAGGAAACACACCCGACACCCGAAATCCAGACTGTATATTTTTGGGAGTAACTGCGAGGGGGTATGCAATAGAGACCACTGAAGGTATGTCATATTTCTTAAAAGGGCCAAAAACGGCGCGGTCAAGAGGTTGAAGTTTCGTGAACAGTTAGGGTAAAAAGAGAGCATGACAATGCCATTTGCTTTGGCAAAATTCAGTCCTTCTATACTCAGATATGACCCATGGTTATCTAGTAAAAGCAGGCACGGTCTTTCCACAGTACTTTTCACATGAAGGTGAAAAAATCTAAAAAACTCCAACCAATGTGACTCTTTCATTCAATGTGATGGGTTTGCTGAACCTTGTGAGCCAGGAGGAGCCGAATTTAAAAAATGTGGTTTGAAATGTACCCGTGGAAAAATGAAAAAGGAGGTATGGAATTTCCAATAGCTGGTGCTGCACTTGCTAAAGTAACAAGAGTTCCTCTTTCTGATGAAACTATCGAACCAACCTGTTTGAGTCCTCTTCTGCCAACAACGCGGTCGGGTCTTTGGACAGTTGTAATCCCAGGTTCGTCATGTTCCAGATTATGTGAGCCTCAAATTCATATTTTTCCATAACTGAAGCTAAATTATCAAAAAATGCGTTGACGTCCGTTTTATTGAAACTACTGGCTCTTGCTAAACTGGTTGCTAATAGACAGTACAGGATGACGTTTCAGAAACGCACTAAACCAGTCAGGACCAACTATTTTATGGAGCTTCCAATTTTCCGGCATTTTCAAATTCATATGCCAGTCCACGTACTTCCTTGGGTGATAATCCAAAATAAATATCAGATGCTTTGAGTACATATTCCACTAGATGATTTTCAAGTTCAGGCTCAAATACTAAATGATTTTTGATGTAGCCAACTGAAATTGACGGCGCAACAACTCGATCATCAAGTAATTCAGACTCTGGAATTTTCTTACAGTATCTTGCTAAAGTACTGTAATTTACATTGAAGTCAGCTGCCGCTTTTCTTATTGAGAATCCTAATCTCACTTACCTAGCACCTCTTAAAACTACGTCAGGCGGCGCTTTGCCCTTCTCAGTCTTCCTTTTGAAATTTCGAACCATGCTTATGTAACCTGAAAATATTAAAAAAAATCATTGTATACATATACCTACGTATAATGATGTGCAAAGCTAATCGTCTAGTGTGGGGGCTGGTTGTCACATGTGACAAGAAGCCCCCGCTGATTTGAGACAGCCTGTCCCACTAGATAATTAATGTTTAAGGTTAGATAGCGTCACTAAATTAACAAATTCAAAGTCAATACTTACGTTAAGTCGTAATCGGATTATTAAAGAGCAAAATAAATTCAACAGTTCTTTTTATTATCAAATGTAGTCTTAAAAACACAAATTATGTGGCAAACGAAAAATTTACTCAGTTTAGGCGATTTGTTTATTTTTGTGCGTGCGACCTTAATCTACCAGGGACAACTTTCGTACTGAATACAAGTGCTCTGCGCGGACGCAGAAACGATGTGTAGCGCGCCACGCAACTACATCTTGCGGAGCTGCTGAGATTTAACAATTGTGACAACCAACGCATGTGACAACCAGCCCCGGTCTCTCCTACAAGTACTAGGCGGATTGCAGCCCAGTTACCATGTCCCCAAAGTGTGGAGAATAATAAATCCGGAAGTTTTACATCCTTACCATCGGCAAAGTGCATAATCAAAATGCAGATTTTATTGAGTTGGATTTGTGGTCAGATGAATCGCGTTTGACGAGGAGTGGAACCTTTTATTCTCACAGTGAACATATTTGGTAGTTAGAAAATCCACGTCCTGTAAGAATCCACTCGTTTCCACACAGATTTTCTAGAAATATCTGGTGCGTCATTTCCAATGGCCAAATGTTTATGCACGTACTGTCACAACGTTTTAATGCAAATTCATACTTAGCTCTTCTAGAGAATCACATAGAAAATGTGTTAAATGATGTTACGGTAGCAACGAGAGTACGAATGTGGTATCAGTAGCGACGGTGCCCCACCGTATGTTCGTCGTGACATAACCGCATGATTAAATGATCGTTTTAGACAACCATGGACTGACAGAAACGGCTTGCGAGGTCTCCTGATTTGAACCCCCAGGATTTATTTTTGTGGAGCGCTTTAAAATAACTAGTGTATGCTGAACAAATCAATTATACTGTTGATCAGTGACAATAAATGTTGCGGAACATTTATTGAAATATTGTACTACTTTTCTTTGGAAAAACAGTGCCTCTAATCCCCTGTACCTCCGCCACTGGTGCACGTTAATTTTAAGTAAAGACTTTTGAATGTGGGTAATACCTAGGTAAATCCATATACCAAATTTTTAGATCATTCCAGTTGACGGTTTTGAGGATATTAAAAAAATTGGTTTTTATTTTTAAACTGCAAAGCCCTCGAGGAAAAAATGTTACATTGAAGACCCTCCTTAAAATGCGGTTCTGTGTATGATGTTTCATTTTTGGTCACGACTTGTGAATCACCCTGTATAATGCACATTGAGATATGGTCACTATGTAATCCTATCGTTCGGTCAACTTTAAATATGAACATTTTCGCAAGTGTTATACTATGATAGTCTGAAAGCTTATTTGGACATATTCTCAAGCTCATAAATCTCTTCGAATAACCGATATGTGTTTTCAATGACGCAATCAATTTATTTGTCTATTGCCAAACAATTTCTCAGAGCGACGAAATTTCAGTATTTTTCGAGGATTATAATATGAGAACTGAAAAGACAAAAGTGGAACTCAGAAGGTTGCTTCAGTACTTCCCATGCATTAGTACCTATATTTATATGTGCACCTTTCCCATACATTACTGTTAACAGAATGGATGTTTACACTCAAATTTACCTAATGCGGCTCAGTGACATTAACCACAAAGAAATTCTAAGCGCAGTCAGCCCTATTTGCAACCAGTAGCGAGGGTTTGTATGTTCTGGGACGCCCTTGAGCGCCGACCTTCGGTGATAAACGACCTTGAAGGCTGACCTTCGGCGCCAACCTTGAAATGTGACCTTGAAGTGTGACCTCGAAAAGTGACCTTGAGTTTCCGAGTGGCC